AATAAAAATTTTTAAATTTAAATAAATCCTAATATCTAATAATTTAATTAAATAAGACAGAATTAAAATTTTATTTTAAAAAAATAATTTATTAATATTTATCTGAGATACAAATCTTTTTGCATCAACTCATAATAATAATAATAAAAATAATAAAAATATATAATAAGAATTATAATAAAAAATATAATTCAAAATTAGTATCATTATTATTAAAAAAAATATGATGATAATAATAATAATAATAATAATAATAATAATAATAATAATAATAAAAATAACAAAAGAATTAAAAAAATATGATTTGAGAAAATATTATTAATATCAAAATTAGTATTATTATTATTAAAAAGAAAATATAATAATAATAATAATAATAATAAAAAATTAAAAAAATATTATCAATATTAGTAATAATAATAATATTATTACTATTATTATTATATTATTATCATTATCATTATTATTATCATCTTTATTAATATTATTATTATTATCTTTGTTAATATTATTATTATTATTATTATTAAAACTTTTATTATTATCTTTATCATTATTATTTTTATCATTATCATTATTTTTATCTTTATTATTACTAATATTTTTTTTATTATTTATATTATTATAATCTTTATTATTACAAATATTATTATCTTATTAGAAATATCACTTTTTTTAAATATTTTTTTAATTTTCTCAATATGTTACTGCAAAATTTTAATATAAAAATCAGTATTTATAATATTTTAAAAGTAGAATAAATAATTTTTTTCTTTATGTAAAAGTTATTTTACAAAAAAATTTTTAAATAGTTTTTTGATATTGAACAGACTAGCTATTTATTCTTATACTAATAATTAATTATATTTGAAAATAGTTAGAATATTATTTTATCAAAAAATAAGATTTTTTTTTAGTTATCATTAAGATAATATTTGACCTATTATATATATTTCTTTTTTTAAATTATTATTAATATTGATATAGTATTTGATCAATTTTTTTTATATTCATTTAATTTTAAGTATCTTCTAATTATATGATATGAGATATTTATCTTCTTCATACTTAGTTTAGTAATAATTTTTTATAGAGATATAGAAGAAGTTTTACAAATATATTGATTTATCTTTCTTGATATAGCTGCAATAATTTTTTTAAAGTATCTATTATCATTTTTATATTGAATTATTTCAGTTAATTTTAATTTTTTTATATTATATCAAATAGTTAAGATTACTAGATCTGTAAATCTACTTAATTTTAATATAGAATGTTTATTTGTATGTCAGTAATATAATAATTTTTTTCTTTTTTTAAAGATAGATTATTCTATCTCTAAGATGAATAGTATAAAAAGATATAAATTAATTCTGCATTAAGAATAGCAAAAAATAAAGCTTATCATATAAGTTTTCTTTTATTTATATTTAGTTCAAATTGATTACAAAATAATTAACTTATATATGTATAACTTTCTATTTGTTAATTATTAAGTTTTTTTGTCACTAACTATATATAATTAATATATAATATATTATAAAAAGTAAAATTATTATTTTTACTTATATTTATATAAATATTTATTTAAATTTTAAATATATATACTTAATAATCTAGTTAATAAGTTTATTTAAAGTATTTAATAACTTATCTTAATAAAATTTTTTTATTAAAATTTATTTTAAAAAAATTGATTATAAAAAATTTAAAATTCTTTTTTAATCTTTTTTTTATTATATAAAATTTTAAATATATATGCTTGATAATTTAGTAAATAAGTCTATATAAGTTAATTTACAAAATAATAATTAAATTTAATTATAATAATTTTTTTAAGTTTTTTTTATTATTAAATATTTTAATTATAAAAATATAAATTTTAAAGTTGTTTATTATTCTCTCAAGTCTATTTTTTATATTATTTAAATAAATATTTATGGAAAAAATTAAGAATTCACTTTTTTTCATAACATATTATAGTTCTATTATTAAATATCAAAGAAAATTGGATTTGAATTAAAGATCCTCTAATTTTTATATTTAATACTTTAACAAATGCACATTAAAATTTATTATCATTGCTATTATTATTATTATCATCATCATTATTTACAATTTTTTACAGATGCTTTAGTAACTATATACAAATATAATCCAATCGATAGCTATATTATCACCCTTTGGAAAAGTTTCTTCAAAGACTGAGTTAACTCAGTTTTAAGAGGTTAAATATTTTAAAATCAGGCAACTTTACTTTCGCTTTATGATTCAAATCTCTTTTTTATCCATCATCTTCTTCAAATAAATAATCAGCCTTCCCCCTTATCAAGTCCATTAACAATTAGTTTTTTGTTGCGTCTGACTTCTGATATCCGCGTCTTCAAATGATATCAAGTGTGGTTGAAAGGTATAAGACACATCATACCGATGTTGATTTGAAACTTTTAATAACTAATTTTATTTAAATCCAATAAGAACAATTAGATCATATCGAGCCACTTCAAAAAAAACTGAACTTCTCCATCCCTACCTTTACTAGATGCGACTAACTACCATTGGATCTATCACCAGGCTACAATTATTTTTCTTGGATGATTTGAAAGGGATTTGGTCACCCTTCAAACTTGCACATAAGAAAGCACTCGTCTTACTGAACGGTGGCATAGCATCCCATGAGTGCAGTTTCTGTTTAGGAACCTTTAAAAACAACGATTAAAGAAGGCCGCTGCTGTAATTTACATAAAATAATGGGATGTCGATCACTCAAATTATATAGAAGGTGACAAATCGTGTGACTGCTATCAACAATTGACACGACAGATACTTGCATTTTACCGTCTGTCTACAAACAAACCAAACGCCAAAAAGGGTATAATCATCAGCTGATCTTTATTTATATTTATTATTGTGTTCTTTTGTTCTACACAATTAAAAGTATATCACTTGCTTTTTTGTACACAAAACAATAATAGATTAAACGGGGATTCGAATTTAATCATTTATTGTTAATAAAGTTCATCTTCTATAAAGTCCCGCAACATATAAATAAAACAGGTTACCTATCAAGTTTCTTTCCGGATCCAGTCTTTTTGTATTATCGTTATTCTTATTATTATTGTTATTATTAGATTTTGTTGCACATCAAATTTGATGTTATTTTATAAATAAAAATAGAATTATAGGTTCTAAACATCGAGCGAGATACTTATTATTGTATACTGTACACTGAGCACTGATAATATGTTTAAATCAAGAGAATTCCATCAAAGTAATCTTTAGGTGAAATAAAAAGATCATTCAAATACCCATTGCTCTCTTGATAAATTGATATTAAAACAGTGAGTGATTATTATTTAATAACTAAATGCAAGATGATGATGGTGGTGGGCCAATGATGTTATATGAGTTCCATTTAATTCGAGTCTAATGTCCTATTCATCATCCAAGGGAGTACAAAATATCTATTAATTAATAGAGTACATAAAATCAATTAATAATTTTTTTGATACAAGTGCGAATATGTTTCTTTCAATGATAACGAGGTCGCAAATGGATTTCTCTTTTGTTGCAGTTTTATTTATAACAATAAAAGGTATGCATAATTATAGTAAAGAGATTCGTCTTGCGAGGCGTTGCGTCGACACCGACATGTGCTCGTGTTTCAAGGTTTGAAACCCAATCAATCATAGAATCGACCAGCCAAGTTACCCACTTATGTGGTTATCAAGCTGCAATTTAGAAGTATCTGCTAAAGTAGGAAAATTTGATTTATGATAAGAGATATTGAGAGTGTTCAAATCCTCTCGGCGATTGCTGATTGGTTGTTTTTCAATGAAACTATTCGTTTCTTTATTCCACTCCAAAGTAGCTTGCTCTATCCCTATTGAGATAGCGCCCACAAGAATGGCCAACATCCGAGGGGCAAAAGATGGTTTTGCAGGGCAAACGAACATTTTTTTACCAAATGGAAAGAATGCTGCGTGCTGCGTTTCGCTAAGTCCGCTGCGCCAACGAGTGGGTCTGAAGCATAATGAATCCTTTCCCCATATTTCAGGATCCCGATGCAGGCTTTCTATATCAACCGACGCGATAATAGGCGAGCGACCATCAGAAGCAGAAATTGCTCTGTGAATGCGTCGTGTGGGTGGATAGAGACGCAGCATCTCGTCCACTATATTCTCTACCGATGCACCATATTCATTATCAAACTTTTTCATTGTTTGCAGCGTGGGGTTGTTCAAGATATCCTTGAACATACGCTGATAATGCGAGTTCCAGGTTTCACAATCACGAAACCGTAACTCCATAACTCCCCGCAATGTTACGCGCCACATCGTTTCAAAGGAGGGTAAGATAAAGTTCAATGGGTAGCTGTATGCTTCCGGCAACAAGCAGTTTAAATGTGCATTAAGCTGATTTAACAGGGACTCTGAATTTGTAGAACCCTGCTTGGATAAGATCCAAAGTTTGTTAATCATGTCGGAAACTTGATCAAGTACGTGGTATTCCTGATCTGGGGGGAGTGAATGCGTTTGGTATTCATCAAACATTGTACTGAGGACAACTTTAAGAACCACAACTCGTACCATAGAAGGTAGAGACACTTTCAGATGCAAGCTATTGGTTTGTTGGAGCGAAATCTGTAAATATGATGAAATGACCAGTTGCGCTTTGCATGCAATAGCCTTCCACTCGCTTTCAGTTAAATTTAGTCGTTGTGCAGCCCGTTTTCGAAATTCTCTGTGGGTATTTTCCTCTGTCGTTGTAAACGAATTACGGATACCAAATGTTGCTGCAAGCTGTAAGTTCGATAAAGCTCGAGCTTCTAGAGGAGTTAACTGGTGGCCGGTATCGGATTCTTTGAGAAATGAGCCACTTAATATATTATCGCTATGCATTATTTTAGCTAAATATGGCTGCTTGGTATTTGAAAGTCTATGGATAAGGTAGCGAATTAAAGCAATACATGCTGTAACAATAAAAGCGACTGTGTATAGTTGTGTTATAAACGAAGTCATTATCAAAGAAAAAGAACGGTGGGAAATAAAATGAGTAAAAAGGGGGAATATGACTTAAGTATCCGGACAAGATCAAGTTTGGCAACTGGAAAAATCAACGGACTTTAAACACCGATTGTAGTACACCCATTGTGTCCAATTTTATTGAATTCTATTGTTAATTTCTAGTTTTAGAAAATATATATATTTTTGTACGATTATCTTATCCATTTCAACCAATTCAATACATGTACATGTACAGTACATGCACGCTTTCTTATAATGAAAGAAAGTCGATAGTATGAATACTGCGAGAAGTGTTTAACTCACAATCCTCATGATTGTAGTAAATGTTCTAAATGTCAAACAATTTGATACTGCGATGACCGTTTGAAAATATCACAAACGAATTCATATGTCTAGCGGGGATAAAGATATCGATGACCTAATAAAAGAATGCAACAAATTGATTCCTTTTGAAGACTTATCAACGTCGAATACATCGCCAAAAGGGGGTCCTGGGTCAATTTATAAAGCAACCTGGTTGGATGGACAATTAAGATTATAATGACTATAGATAATATCCCAGATGGGATCATGAAGAAAATAGATACAAATCAAATTCTAAAAGAGGTAGAAGGTTCGGCCTACTTTAAAATACAGTGAAGAATGGAATAAGTTATTATGGAATAACTAAAAACCCAACTGCGAATGAATACTCGATAGTAATTGGTTATCTAAAAATGGAAGGTCGTTATTACTGTCTTTATTTTATAAATATATTAGTTCCAACTATGAAGAATTGACCAGGGAAGAAAATTAGAATACTTATTGTATATTGTCGATGCGCTAAAAATAATTCGCGAAGAGGAACTTTGTTAATAGTGACTTTCATCCTGGAAATATATTAATACATATTGATGTCGTACGACCTACAATACCGCAAATTTATTATTGAAAATGTTGGGATTCTATTTCAGAAAACAGACCAGTTATTCAAGAACTTCATGACTCTATCACATATCACGTTTTGAAAATGAATACGTTACATTTCAGTTCTTTAGAATCTTTATCGTTACTACGTTCCACATGAAGGTAAAATCATATTTGATAATATTTTTATAATTAATGATCTGCATAAAATTCATGATGAACATTGAATTCTATGTATACAGTCTAACCTCTCTATAGTCACATCCTCGGGATACTAAAAACCGTGACTATATAGAGGTGTGCCTATTATAGAGGGTTTCTCTATATAGTCACATCTAATTAAAATATATTTATGGTAACTATATAGAGAATTACTTATTGCAAATAAATTACTATAATATTATATTTTTTCCTCACATTATTATCTTTTCCAATTTGCATTATGCCATTTGTTCTTAAAAAAACCCATTATCACATTAGTGATAAACAAAAAAAAGAAATATATAAGTTAGCTAAAAAAAATTCATCCTATAAATAGCAAGAAATAATAAGTAAGTTTATAAAATAATATATAAATCTGAAAATAGATTATTCAACTATATCAAAAATTTTAAAAAATGCTGATAAGTATGAATTTTGTGATAATATATATATTGAAAAAACTTTTCAGTATCATTTTATGAAGTATTCAATATTGAAACATATTATAAATATATAAATAAATCAGATCATAACTGAAAGAATAATTATATCAAATTTAATAATAAAAGAAAAGAATTATTAATTTGTATAAGCTTTTATAATACTAGATGAATTAATTATATTTTCAAATAAATAGATTAAAAAAAATTATAATATATAGTAAAATAATGAGTATATTATTAGAAAATTTATTTAAAGAATAAAAAAAATTACAAGAATTTTTCTTTAATTATAATTCAGAAAATATATATAATGCTGATGAAATAAATTTATTCTATTGATTACTTCTAAATTAAATACTTTCTATAAAATTAATGACTAGAAAAAAAAAAGATAAATTAAAAAAATTTATAATTTAAAAAAAATTAATAATTAAATTTTTTAAAAGAAAATAAGAATAACTATATTACTTAAATTTAACTAACTCTCACAAACTTTATCTATTAGTTATCAATACTTTTAAAAAGTCATAATATTTTATGGATTGGTGCAAAAAGATTTGTACCTCAGATAAATATTAATAAATTATTTTTTCAAAATAAAATTTTAATTCTGTCTT